GCGGCTGCCGGTGAAAGGAGGCGACGCCGCCGACCGGCACCGGTCAGCCCGGGTCGGCACCGGGCTGTAGCGGCAACCTGAGGGTCACCACAGGCCTGTGACGTTCAGTGCGGGTCCATATCGGTCACCCACAATAGGTCGAGACGACACCAGCCGGCAACGATTAACATGAGGCGACATAGACCATTGTCTACAGGAAACTCGGTCTTGTAGGTAGTTTCCGGCCCTATCTGGTCTTGCGCGACCTGCCTACATCTCAAACTACATACCAGGGCTCTTCACGCTGTCCGATTTTCCTACCATCGGGATGGATGAAGCGTAATTATGCTCTAAGCGGTGTAATCGGTAAGACACACGACCATTTCATGGAGACACTCGCAAGTGAGCCCCGCCTGCCGCATATTTGTTTCGTGGGCTTCTTTGTAGAAGACTGCGGTTACATGATGGCTATTTCACCCACGCCCTTGAATAAATAATGCCAGAAACGTCATGTCATACGGATGGTGGCCCCAACGACAATGTTCTCGTTTGCTGTCTTCGCCATTTTGACACCGTACTTGTAGAAGTTGCATCTGTGATCCTCACAATGCGCCAGTAATTTGACACACTGCGACAAAAATTCGCTTTAGCTTGCATCCACGCAGACTGTAAACAGCTCACTGCGATTTTGGTGACGTTTCTGATAGCAGGGGCTAGCGTGCTCGGCAGGCGTGCTCCTCCTGAAATGGCGCGAGCTTCGCTCCGCGGATGCTTGAAAATGAGGTCCGGCCGAAACGCTCTTGTGCAAGGTATCACCTATAAAGTAGGAGTGCATGTGATCTTTTTCGGCTGCCATGATGAGCAGACGGCTGCGGCTAATGGGACCTGGAAGATTTGTGCGGTGGCATGTCCCATCTCAATCTGTACCAAGACCGATTTAAACCTGCCAAAACCTGCCCGCCAAAACAGATTAGCTCGGGTGATTATCGGTCATCGCCGTTCGCTCCCGAGTCAGCACCAGTCAGTGCCGAACCCGCCTCGAATCAGCAGCGGTCAGCACCGGCCCCAGCTCGAGTCAGCACCGGTCAGTACCGACCCCAGCTCGAGTCAGCACCGGTAAGTACCGACTTCGGCTCGAGTCAGCACCGGTCAGTACCGACTCCGACTCGAGTCAGCACCGGTCCGAACCGACCCCAGCTCGAGTCAGCACCGGTCAGTGCCGAACCCGCCTCGAATCAGCAGCGGTCAGCACCGGCCCCAGCTCGAGTCAGCACCGGTCAGTACCGACCCCAGCTCAAGTCAGCACCGGTCAGTACCGACCCCGACTCGAGCCAGCACCGGTCAGTACCGACTCCGGCTCGAGCCAGCACCGGTCAGGGTGCTAACCCTGCCCGCGGCCGTGTCTGGCGCCCGGCCATGAGCCAGCCTCCGCGGCCGCCGCTCGAGTGACCTGACCGCCGCGGGCGGCCGCTCGGCCCGGCCCGGCCCGGCACGTCCACGCCGTAAAAACGGCGGCGGCGGCGGCGGCACGTCCCGAGCAGGGCAGCGCCGCGGCGGGGCCTGCGCGCCGGCCCACACCTGTGGCGTCCGGACGGCCTGGAGAGACCTCTCGCAGAGAGATGGCCGTCGCTCCGAGACAGGCGGGACGGACGCGGGTGGAGGTCGGTTTGTGGTGTGCTCGGGCATGTAACTGCGCGGGTCAGAGGTGTCGCCACCCTGCATGTTGGCGGGGTATAGGTGAGATGCAGACACCGCAGTGGACTCTCACAAGAGGCGCTTTCCCGTGCCCTGGATCGGAGTAGGTTAGGGTCAAATTAGAGCGCTGAATTGGCCACTTCATTGCCGTCAGCTCTAGCGGACAAGCAGGCAGCAGGTTTACAGCTCTAATCTAAACCAAGCCATTTGTGTGCATGACGCTCGCGGCACTGGACGCCTGCCCCACCCCCTTTACCAACAGCAAAAAAATCCAGCTCATTTGACGGCGATTGACCCTGCCTGTCGTTTTATACATTTACCACTTCTTGATTGCTTTAGGTATAAAGCTTGAGGGGTTGATCACCAAGGGAGTAAAAGGCGCCCAGATCATCTGTACAATATGCTGAATTTCTGAGTCTTCAGCACCTAACCATTCTCACTGGAGCCTGCACCAACATCGGAGGGCACACCTTTAGTGCTTGTTGCTTCAAACTAGCACGACGGAAACAATAAGATGGGACAATGGCCCACATCTCCCGGAGCAATGCAGTATTAACCCCATGACGCTGCATGAGCAGAAACGTGCATTGCAAGCAAAGAACGGTTGCGGATCGCGTTTTAGGAAGTCGACCAAGCAGCTATAATGAGCCGGCGACAACTGCGTAAATATCGGCTGTGTTGTTTGCGCGCCGATTACAAGCACTGTTCACCGTGCCACGAAAATGTAACGTCACGTACTTTGATATCCGGTTCCAGCGAGCCTGTCGCAAACAACGCTACGTCCTCCGACCGCCGTCAGGTCACAAACAGCACGGCCCACACGCTCGCCGTCCAATAGGGAGGTACGTGACCGGGTGGTCCCTGCACCCCACTGCCTGCATCGCACCCCAACACTCGTATTTGAACGTGACAGACGGTTGTTGAGATAAAGCTTTATAGATACGCCTGTACGCCCCACGGCTGCGCTGTACATTGCGAGTTGCAGCTGCGCAACGACCAACACACGTATGCCTTTGTCCCGTCCGAGATTTAAAGGCACCTGGTGTCGAAAAATCAACGTCGCACAAAATACACGCGCGTGTACTTGCAGACCCCTCGTATGCTTAACCCGGCCTTTTAGTCGTGGTATGGCAACAAGGTTACCACTGCTCGTAACCAGGTTTATGTCGGCAGTAGAACCCCGCCGCGCGGCGTCCTCGTCCCACCCCATTTCAAAACCATGTTTACGAGCCGGCCATCTGCCCCCGCCTCGAAGCTGGGCGTAGCGCCGTTCTGGGACATAACAACCCTTCTGGCCGGCCGAGCGCCCGCTGGTTCTCCCGGGCGGCGCTATTCTCCCCTCTCGCCCGGGTGCCGGGAACGCGGTGGTTCGGCGCGCGCCGTGAAGTGCTGGCCAAACAGAAGCAGAGAGAGCTCGCGAGGTCGACGTCGCACCTGGGCAGCGCCGCGTCACGCGCCGGGCTCCGGGCCGACCGCGACGCGCCGCCTGGTCACATCCGCGGCGCCCAGGATCCCAGCACCTGTGCCTCTGGGAACTCGGCCTTCGACGTGACGGCGCCCCCGTGTGGCACCCGCGGGCCCTGAGCTGAGGCGTGGGCGCGCGGCTCCGGCCTCAGCGAACGCTGCGTGTGTTCAGTGACGAAACGTGTGGCGTTTTGTAATGTTGACGCGTCTCTTCTGGCGGATGACGACGTGTATGTGGCCGATTGACCTTTGTTCCCGAGCCGTCACTGGATGCGCTGTATCAACACATCGTCAGAGGGTTTGGCTCGCTATGGCGGTTGTTGTTTTTATAGACATGGGTAAGACGGCGAATCTACAATGTGTGTTACTTTATCATCCAGCCCAGACGCCAGATACCCTTATGTTGTTGACGTGATGCTCATTGCAGCTGTTCTCACACCAGTGAGCGTCGGCGTTGACTGACCGCCGTTAGGTCCCGTTCTCCTCTTAGTCATTTCTCGGGCAAGGCACCGATAGCCACCTCGAGGAGCGGTGTGATAAGCTCCAACGTTTGGTCTTTCCGTCTAACTGTGACTAGTCGCCGGACCATGACGCGCCACCCGCCATGGCAAGATCAGATTAAAACAGTGACACGCGGTGTGATTCGACGAATGCGAGTTTAATGGGCCCATGTAAGTGCTTTATCTGTTCTATGTAGAACATATTCCAACAAGCAGCTTTGCAGTCCGGCAGATCATAGCCAACCTGAAATATTGAGGCGCTTTGTTTTCGACCGGAACGTTGTGGAAGAAATGATCACATAGTGAAGCGTCACACCTTGGGGTGCACACCTTTCCTACCGGCCACCCATGCCTTCCATGCAAGCCCACGCTTTGCTGAATTACCAAGGGTGAAAAGAAAATTACTGAACAAATAAGAAGTACAAAATAGTCTAGGGCAACACGTCTGTGCTTCCTTCATATCCAAATAAAAATGCTCGGTTTTGACAAGGCTTTCGGTGCAACCTATTCGTGATTTTCGAATTCTTACTTCATTGACATAATTTGCCTCATTAACTCCATAATTACCTAAGGTGCGCAAAACACCGGCGAGCTAAACTCACGCCTGGAATCGTTGCAAGCTCTTCACGAAACACGCCCTGGGGATAAACTCGGTCGCCCCAGTTTTTGCCCATCACTAACCAGCTCACGATCTGGCCTGCGGAGCGCCGCGGGCGGCTGCGGTTTCTGCGGTCAGCGGTCGCTGATGCAGGCCACGCACTCAAGGACGCGGCGGCACCAATTAGCGGCGCGTGGACCAAGACAGCGCGGCCGGTGCGGCACAGCCGGGGGAGCCAGGAGGTGGTGCCACCGGTCGCAATGGCACACCGGAGACGCCGTGACCGGCTGTCGCTGTCCGGCCGACCTGGCGCCGGCCGACCTGGCGCCGGCCTGTCGCGGCGCCATGCAGTGCGGAATACCCCGCGAAGGTCAGCGACATTACTTTTGCGTGACCGCCTCGCAGGGAGCGTACCTACTTCAGAGCTGGGGAAACTTCCCATGACATTTCTCCCCTATTGGAGGCTTCACATGCTTAAGCTCGGTCTCTCCCGTGACCGACAAGTGTTTTAAATCGACGCCTGGCTCTCCAGGTGCGGAGGCACGCTGCCACCGCCTCGCCGAAACCGGTTTGGTGTGTACGGGTGCTGGGGGGAGGGGGCGGGGGGGGGGGGGGCACTGGCCTGAGCAGCTGACGATCGGCGCTCACAGCGCTGGTGCCGCCAGCGCTGGTGCCGCCAGCGCTCACCCCCGGCCAAAACCAACAAGCCGGCCGTGCGTGCGCGGCCGCGGCCGACGCTGCCCCGCCCCCGGCTGACCACCCACCTGTGAGTTGCGGTCTGCGGTCCCGCCGGTCGCAGCGCCGACGTCTCGCGGCGCGCGGTCCGGCGCCGAGCCTCCTGAGTCAACACTCGGCGTGGGGCCGCCGCCGGTCGCGATCCGGCGCTGGCCCGCCGCGCGCGCGCACCTACCCGGCCGGGACACCTGCGCCGCCCACCTGCCCGCTCACCGCAGCGGGCGCCACTGGCGAGCCCGGCCGCCCCAGCCACCCGGCCGGTCCGCCCGGCCGGGGGGCGGCCCGGGACAGGCACGCGCGCCGCGCCGCAGAGGCGACTCCAGGCGGCCGGCGAGCAGGTGCTTGTTGGCACGGGTGCAGCGCGTCACACGGCACGGAGGCGACTCCAGGAAGGCGGCTAGGCGGCGTTCAGTGGCACGAGCCTCGGTACATCACTTCGCGCACAGGCGACATGCCACACCGTAGCGTATAGGCGCGAATGGTGACGTTATGCCTCTGCGGTCCGCGAAAACTACCTGGTCCAGGCCATTCCCCACATGACTACATAACCGCTCGATGGCATATCAGATGTACACAATACCCCTGATATGCATTCCCGTCTAAGCCAAGTGGTTAATGGATTGCAATAAAAGAATGAGGAGACATGTAAGATGACACGTAAATTGCCTCACCTGAATGCGTTCTGCATTTGTCTGCATTGTCGAACGTTGTTATAACAGATCACTGCCAACACCGCTTTTGAACCGAATATTACATTGCAGGTATCGCTATCACAATTCATAAGGCCGAGATGTTGTGTTACGTTGTAGCGTGATAATATCATTCTCAGCTCGTAAACATTGTATTGATGGAGCATCCCCACATCATTGACTATCAATCAAACAGACGGTTACTGTATCTTTGCTATCTGTGTGTGTGTGTGTGTGTGTGTGTGTGTGTGTGTGTGTGTGTGTGTGTGTGTGTGTGTGTGTTGTGTGTGTGTGTGTGTGTGTGTGTGTGTGTGTGTGTGCTATCTAGCAAACTTTTATTACGTTGTCAATCCTTAACGTTACAAGGTGTGCAGTTATCACTGGTGACAGACGGATCAGTTATGAACTACATTCATTTGACAATAAACAATGCAAGAAATGCATCACTCATTGTTATCAGACCATACCAGACTGCAACATAATGTCCGCTCCATCGAATGGCGATAAAGTACATGTTTCTGTGCCGTCTGTCAACCTAGCAAGCAGTTAATGGTTACCGAACATACAACACTATCAGTCGGTTTGTACTCACCACACTATGCCGCGGTGAGCCGAATCGGTCGGCCGCGGATCTCTCAGATGGGTCAATAATGATGTTATTTTCAGATCAACTGACATTTTTATGCAGGCATGTGCGAATACAATATTTTTTAAGCCTCCATCTAGTCCGGTACACGAGATACACACTCAAGTCGTAGAACGCTTGAAAATCAGCGGCTCCAGCTTTTCTCGGATCAAGTGGGTGAGCTATCCTCACCACAAATGTATCGTTTCTCCCCATGCGAGCTGCTTGTCTACTATCGTAACAGCGCGTGGCTGCCGAAAGCTGAGGTTGGTCATTTCTGCTGTGGGCCTGGGGAAGCCTTCCGGTCCCCCATCGCGCGGAGGACAACTGACAGCCCATCCGAACACGCATCGACATATGCTCTGGGACACCGGCACTGCAGGAATGCGCTATATCCCTGTGGCTCTAGAAAAAAATATTTTAATATGCTGCATAGTAGTGTGGCTGCAATTAGTAACTAACTAAAGATGTAGTAAGAAATCAAAGTGAATTTTAACGAATACAAGATAAGATATAGATTGAGAAGCAATAAATTTGGGGAGTTGGGTGGATCATTAATATATAATCACTAATTTATCACCGACTGACTTGTCTGACCGGGCGCCGTTGTTGTGTGCGATTGCTGGGTTATCTAGTGGTTCAGTTTGTGTAGCTTTTATGTTGCCTTCCACTTCAGTTATCTTGGAGGATACCCAGGTATCTTGCTCCTCGAAACCGACAATATAAGATAATTCTGGTATTTGCATCTACCGCGGTGTCAGCGACGGTCCTATCGGCCAGACGACGTGAGCTTTGGCGATGACTGTTGGGCAAACACGTGCATATATGAGACAAAACATGGATGAAAAACATAAAACAAAGGTCAGGTCTTGCCAACCTGACTTTTGTCGAGGCGCAATTTGTACTAAGAGGTCAAGATGCAGACAAACATGTCCTGTCAAAGGTTCATTACTAAGCGAACTACACACACACACACATGCACGCACACACATATCATCCTGACATTCTCGAGCCCTCCTGGCCGCTCAGAATTCCTAATCGTTTTGAACCACTTGAGCGCTGCCGTCGTTTGTTGGCAAGAAGATGGCTATTGAAGCCCCTGTTGGCTATTTCGGAGCCCTTGGAATGTGTCAAAGAAATTGTTCATCTGTTTAAACCGAGCCGCAGTGGAGTTACCTAGGGTGCTGTTAGGTTAGAGTTACTTAGGGTGCCGAGTGGAGCGGAGTTTTTGGTGGCGTTACCTAGGGTGCTGTTACTTCACCTCATTTCGATGCCCCAGCACCTTCGACTATCTCTGGGTGCCTGAATGTCTACGAGCCTTGCAGACGTCTTGTTCGTTGCCACCCATTGTGCATTATTTGTGCAGTTCCCTCCTACGGCTAAGCCTGCTTCAGCGAACCATGCTACTCTTCGAGTTCGTAAGCGAGTCTCCTGGCACCTGACGTGATGTAAGCCATTTCGTCACTTCTGCTTTCCTTGAACGTTTTTGCATTAAAAAACGTCCTTGCACGGCGCAGAAAAACACTAGTCCACATCGCGGTGGACGTCTGAGCATTCGTCGCATCCTCCACACACAATGATACACCTCCTCAATTACAGAAACTTAATGCACCTCCTCAATCACAGAAGCTTAGAAATCACCCGACTAAGCTAGTAAACTGGGGCCTATGTGTGAAAGGACATGCCTTACCGAGGGTTTTCGACTCTGAGCGCGCGAGGACCCCGTGCACTGTCGGTCGTATGCCGGGGCTCTGCGCATGGAGCGGTCGCGCTGAGTTCAGCCGCGAGCGCCGCATGTCACCTCTCAGCCGGCGGGGCCGGCTCCAGCTGCGCTCCAAAGTGGCCGGGCGGCGGCGTGACGCTCCGGAATGAATCGGTGTCAGATCTGACACCTCGAGGGCCGGCACTCGTGCTCGGCGAGAGCCCGCGGCCCGGCCGCCGACAATTAGCGGCCTCGATCCCCGCTGGACGAAAGTCGGGCCGGGCGCCGCCCGCTGTCAACAGGCGCACAGTCCTCCCGACGCGCACTGTGCCGACCACTCGCGGGGAATGGGGTCGATTTCGGCGAGTCAGCTGGCGACCGGGCGACTCGGAGTGGATCTGCTGCCGCAGCGCCTCGGCTAGGGCCGGACTGCATGGCAGGCTACACTCCATTAGGAGTGGACCAGCTGCCGCAGCGCCTCGGCTAGGGCCGAACTGCGTGGCAGGCTACACTCCAGTAGGAGTGGACCAGCTGCCGCAGCGCCTCGGCTAGGGCCGGACTGCATGGCAGGCTACACTCCATTAGGAGTGGGTCAGCTGCCGCGGCGCCTCGGCTAGGGCCGGACTGCGTGGCAGGCTACACTCCAGTAGGAGTGGACCAGCTGCCGCAGCGCCTCGGCTGGGGCCGAACTGCATTGCAGACTGCACTACAGCAGGCGGTTTCTGGCCTTATCTGATCTTACCGACCTGCCTGCATCACAAACCACACACCAGGGCTCTTCTGCGCCGTCCGGTTTTCCTACCATAGGTTCGGATGAAGCGTAATTAGGTTGTAAGCGGAGTAATCAGTAAGACACACGACCATTTCATGGAGACACTCGGATGTGAGCCCCGCCCGCCGCATATTTTTTCCGTCGGTTTCTATGCGGAAGGTCGTGGTTACATAATAGCCATTTCACCGACGCCCGTGAATAATGCTAGGATCGTTATGCAGTGTGTCGTGGTGGCACTAGCGGCAATTTTTCCAAATTTGCTGTCTTCACCATCCTGACACAATCCGTTTTATCATTGTATCTACGCAAACTGCAAACAGCTCACCGGGTCTCGGTGACGTCTCTGATAGCAGGCGCTAGCGTGCCCGGCAGGCGTGCTCCCCCTGAAATGGTGCGCGCTTCGCTCTGTGGATGCTTGAAAATGAGGTCGACCGAAACATTCTTGTGTAAGATATCACCTATAGAGTAGGAACTCATGTGATCTTTTCGGCCGCCATGATGAGCAGGCGACTAAGGCTAATGGGACCAGGAAAATTTGTGTGGTGGCATGTCCCATCTCAATCTGTACCTAGAAATCGGAGCCCCGGCTAGTTGCTCGTCAGTAATCTTGCAGCCGTCTGCAGCAATCGCGCGCTTGAGAAACTTCACTGCAGCTCGGCGTAAGCTTCGCAGCTGTGTCGTTGCGCTTCGCGGAGCGTTGGACCAGCTGCCACCTGCCACCAGCGGCGTCTTACGCTCTTCTGACGGCTAAGTCACGAAAGCTGGCACAACGAGTTTATTTGGGAGTCTCTGAAGCCTGAGCCTTCTTAAAATGCATTTTCATCAGCTATGCCCGGTGCCACTCCTGTATATTCGGTACACGCTTATGAAATGAACGTGTTGGTGCTACTGCTAGCATCAGCGCTATCAACAATTTTCCCTTCTTTTTCGTGCGCGTTCTTCGTTCTGATCACAAATAAGCGGGTATACAAAGTCGACCGATGTGGAAGCGACGCCGTGGGCGTGGAAGCAAGCAGAGCAGGGCGGAGACTGCTACATGATTGCATACTTGCAAGGTAGCTTGGTTGGTAAATATAATAAAAAAGCCGCGGATAGGCTCATTTATTGGAGGGCATAGCGACATGCTGACAACCTTAACACGCATATAGCCAGCTGTCGGCATAATATTGAAGCCCGGTTGTGAGAGACGCAACCACGAGCGAGTCGACATAGCAGTGATATTACCGTCAAAGGTGACGGTGATGGTTCGTACAGCAGCAGACGCGGCGTCGGCCCTCGCATGACCCTCAACTCTCGCCCCCGTCCCCTGTCTCCCGACACCCCCCACGCTCTGGCCAGCATCTCCCAACACCTAACGATGTTCTATCAACCCGATCCCTCACCGCTGGTCTAATGTTGTTCAGTCGAACTCCTCCTCACTGGAACTCGAATGAGCCATCTGTTCGGCGTGGCAGCGTTAATGCCCGGGCGTGCCAACAAACCTGGTCTGTTGACACTTAACTGACACATTGCTGTACTCTGTCCAGTTTTGCCTCTTATACGACTTCTTGACGACATATTCCGATGTAGTCTCATTAACCCGAAAGACTATAAAGTCTAAATCTTAGGCATCCCGAGCAATCAAAGCTCGACAGTGACAATGACAGGCTGCAGGCGGCACATATGAAACTTCATGAGGACAAATCACTGGCGTCACTTCATAATTCAAACCTGGGTGAAACATAATAAATTCGTTTATGAGCGATGCCTTGTGGACTCTACTACCATTGCCAGAGTGGAAGCATTGAAATGTAATGATTGCGTTGAAATGACATGTAACGTGTTATGCTGTGGAATACCGTGTTGTTCGGAGCGGTAGATGTTTTGTCGGATCTGTTAGCCGACACACCAGCTGCAGAGCTATAGCTCTACGAATTCCGCTTTGTATTGGATTTGTATTGGGTAAGGTTTTGTATTGCCCAAAGCTGCCAGCCAGTGATCGTGGGTAGTCGTTGGCCAGTCGTGTGTTTGTTGCCATGGCCAGTGCACTGTGTGCTGAAAGAGCTGTCGCACCATGCGCAGCACACATCTGGCCCTGATGTATAGACCTTGAACGCAACATAGCGTGTAGCGTGGGGTTTAATGCAATATACACGCTGCACGTTTTTCTCCAAATACAAACTCTGTTGGGGGAATTCCCAATTTGTATTAAAGAAAGCAACAGATTGTGACATGCGAGAGCTAACTGGCTCCTGTTGATCTTACCGAGGAGGCGTCTTTACACTTAAACACAGCTGCCTTCGCGAGCGCGGCGCGCTTTGTTAAGTCAAGGTTAAGATCATTGCATCACTCACCGGCAAATTAAAAGTGATAATAGGATTTGCTGTGAAAGAAGACATTACACGCATGCTGATGCATGGATACGCGGAATACTCGTCAGATTGTGCATGATTATATTACTTAGGACCTATTCAACCGAGGAGCAAATGTATTCACCTGCATATTTTCCACGTCCACGTAGTCGACAGTAATCGTGTTCAACCGAGCTCCTCCCTTTTGGAAGGTGCACAAGGCACGTCTTCGACGACATTGGCATTATCACCGAGACGGGCCGACGGGCGCTGCCCTGTTGATAAGAGGTGGTGGATCCTCGGGAGTTGGCGATCAAGCCCACTTTTAAAGTAGCTTCTTTTTATGGACGTCACTGAGCTGAGTTTAAATTTTGCTGAAAGAGGCCGTGGAGCAGGCTAATCGACCACCAAAGGCGTTGACATTCAATCTTCGTCTGGTCGAGTCCACTAGCTCTAACCGATACACCCCGAAAATATTATGACTTGTCATGTCGCCACTTGCATTGAGCCCCTTCTGGTGCAGTTGTCTGATGTTTTTTCGCGCCGGTGAACGTGCGTCAGTAGAAAGGTCCTTGGTTCGAACCTGACACCTGACCTTGGTGACCTTGGTGACCTCGTACTACGCCGGCAGCCATCGTGATGGCGTCAACTGGGGAAAGATCGCCTCCTCGCGAAATTAATGCTGTACCAACCAGTGCTCGATTTTTGGGTTCGCGGAGGTCATTCGACCCGGTGACCCACCTCAAGGGTCATGACCTCTCTCTGGGTCAATGGGGCTGTCAGTTCTTTGCCAACTGGGCGCAAGAACTCGTGTTGATGGCACAGATGAAAAGTTACGCATACATTTTAGTAACAGCGCAAACCAACGTAGGCCTCAGGGTATTGACATTGCTGCCCATTCGTAGTCTTCGTCTGAGGCTTTGCACACAAACGTCGTCTCGGAACGTGTTTTCAGTAGCTGTTATGAATTCGAGCTCGTTTAGAAATGATGCGTCGGTCGTAAGTGTGAGCATCAAGCCTCCAGTATATAAGATTAACCGTACCTTACACTCGGTACGAGTCGTCAAACCTTTCGGCTTAGCCGCCTGCGACTCGGCCAACCTTAGCACCATGTGCTAATGCCAGACGTCCGCGCCGTGTAACGGTTGCAGGATATGGGAGCTTCAATAACTGCACTGATACCGGAATGTCTACCCTGACACTTGAATAACTGCACTGGAGCTCAGAACTAAGTGAGTTAATTTATAATCGCATTCTCGGTGCGAGCCGTCCAGATCACTCCGCTTAGCAGTCTGTGTTTCGAGCAGCCAATGGCATGGGACGTTTCTGGTCACACTGTGGTCACGCATCCCTTTCCATGTGGGCGTTATTAGGTTGGAGCTAAGTCGGCACCAAATCTTAAGCAAAAATAAAAACTAGGATGCACAGGAACCAACTACATCACCCATTAGGTCTATAGGCGTGATGTGATACATGAAGATGACCGTTACATTTTGCTACGGAGGCGTCGGGTACGTGACGTCGAATCAGAGGCGCTTCCGGAGTAGCAATTGCTTGTTTGATGGACCGCACTGGATTCTTCGAGTTCCGCCCCTGAATGTCCTGTTATTTGTGCATTTTCAGGCTTGTTGCCAAACTAGGCTCCTGTATAATGTTCTTAGTATGAAGAGGCCTACGGTGTACAGAGGGTTAGGATGTAGGGGCTGGATTGGTTGGCTATGCCAGTTTCTTCTCAGTAGCCGATTCTTCACACAGTTCAAGCCGTTTTGTCTTTCATGAGCCTAAATTTTGGATGACTGTTTTTCATTGTTTACCTTGTTCACTCACGACGCTGACTGCTTTTGGAAACGTTGAGCATTTTCAAAATACATGAGATATATTCGATAAGTACATCTAATCAACACTTCTCGGCATAGAAAAGATAAGACTTGTTCAAGGTAACACTTGAGAAGGCCGAAAACCAAGAGCCCAAGTCTCCTCTTGCCCCATCTTTTCGGAGAAGGCCGGCTGACCGGGTAAGCGTACCATGCTGGGACTCAGCGATCATGCAGGGATGTAGAACCACAGGATTTTGTCGCACAACACTATTCCTGACACTGCATGACAAATGTGCGAGGACATTGGCCACCAAGGCTGCCGTTCTTGCATCACCCGGCGAGGAATTACAAGGCTATAATCAGATTTCCTGCGAAGCGGGGCAGTTCGCGGAATCCATCTCATTGGCACGCATCTCAAAATGCGTGCCAAACGTGGTGAATCTCAGGAAACCAATCAATCCAGACCTCGAATAAACCGCACCTGCCGTCTATGGATTGGCCTGCGCAGCGGGCCGGCTGTGCAGGTCTCGGGCCTGAACCGTACCGTACGGCCGCCTCTGACCCGTCCGCCCGCCGGCTGGCTCGCCGGTCTGTGGGAGGTCTTGGGCTGAGCTGCGTGAGCGGATTCCTGCCGACGCTTATGATCAAAGCCGGCTGAGTGGTCGCTGCACTCCCGACAGACGGCATGAGCACGGATCGGACGGCACCGTCGCGGCAGCGGCGCATACCACCCAAGTGCCACACCTCGGGCAAAGACCCAGCTTACATCGCAGTCTCGCATCACGGTGATAAACCGCGATCACCTTGGGCGTCACGAATGATGGCAGCACAGGGGCTGCTGACGGTCACTTCATCACATACGAGACCTACTGCGGGGGACGAGTCTTCGGAGCGGGATGTCCTGATTTCTGAGCCACTTGCAGCCAGTCAGGATCGTCTCGGCCCGTTCATTCTGACATGTCAGTGTATAGTACGAGCGGATAGACGGTCGGTCATCTACAGTTGGCAACTCCCGGTACACAAGTATTTATGTAGAATATATTAAATCGTTACAAACAGGACATATACAATTGGCATTTGGCTAAAACACGTATGTCACGGCGCTGCGGCAATGTTCGCAGCGACCAACACACATATTTCCAAAAAAACGCGGCAAAAGGCTGCTTGTTCTAATTCACAACTATGATAGTATCAACCATTGATTCATTGCATATGATCCACTCTACAGATAATTCCTTGCACCAACAAATGCACCGAAATTTATTCGCGTGTGCGCACTTGTCGCGCATCCAGAGTGTTAACTGCGACCGTTCTCCGCACGTCCCTACTCCACTGTACAGATATGGCCCCCGCATCTACATACACTACTACCAATCAATGATCTGCTTATGGACATCTCTGCCGCCGTTCAACATCGCTCCCCATTTACCGGAGCATGGAAGACCACATTGCTTTGTGCACAAAAAGAATACTCGATAGAAGGAACGACACTTGCGGACATTGCATCACAACGCCATACAACCAGAGGCACTTCACATTTGATCATGCTATGTACTACGACCCCGAGGCTCGTCCAATGGAAGAGCCGTTTGATGATACGGTCCGGGAGCGTCACCCCCCACTACCGCACGTTTGGCCGTTCTCTTGGACCCATTCCGGCGCTAAATCCGAACCCGCCCGACCCTGGACCCGACCGCCGACAGCGAGCGGCCGCACTGCTCGGCCTCTCCGGGTTGGCACTGAGGACTCCGGAGGCCGCCGCCCGCCGCCGCCGCCTCGGCTACACGAAGCTGATGTTCAGCTTCTCCGCCTTTTCCAGGTAGATGGCCTTGCGCGAGCGGCCGGTGGCCAGCTCATGGGCGGCGGCGCTGGGGCGCGCCGGCGGCCGCGGCGGCGGGCCGCGCGCCAGCACCTTGGGCTTGGGCGGCAGCGGCGGCGGCGGCGTGGCGGCGGCCGGGCACAAGCCGGCCGCGACCGCAACGGCCGCCGCCGCCGCTCGGCCAGCGGCCGTCGGCGCGAGAAGGCCGCCTCGTCCAGGTGCAGCGAGGTGGCCAGCGCGTCGGGCGTCGCCGGCAGCGGCGGCGACGCGGCGTCCGGCCGGCGCGGCGTCAGACGCGGCATCGGCGGGCACGCCAGCTGGCCGCTGTCGCCCAGGCCCAGGCTGAGGCGGCCCGACTCGAACTCGGCCTGGAAGTAGTCCTCCGCCTGCTGGTCGGTGGGCAGGATGCCGCCGGCCAGTGGCCGCACCGCGCTGCGCCGCCGCAGCTGCTGCACCGGCGCGCCAGCCGCCTCCGGCCAGTAGTTCTCCTTGTTCTGCGGCACGTGACGCCGAGGACAGCGTCAGCCACGGCCAGTGGAGACGACACGCCACGCGCTCACCGGGTGCGCGGCCACGGCGGCGGGAATGCGGCCAGACGAGTTCCGTGCCATTCCCGGGAGGCGACGTGCCGGGTAAGAAGGCAAGGTACGGACGTACAGATAACTGCGATAGCCTTTCATGGCCGGTGAGCTATGTACAACCCGCTAAAGTATTTCTTATTTCGGCAACGGCTATCTGATTCGCAAATTTGGTTCAGCATCGCAACCGCAAAGCCGTCACAGGGCTTGTTCGCTCTACTGGCCTCACCTGGACGGCATCACGCCGTTTCAAGAACTCGGGCAGCTCAAAGTTGATCTCGGTGCCCCGTTGGTCGTCCAGTCGGCACATCTGAGCCCGCTTCAGGCCCTCGTACAGCGCCACTGCAACAGGAGACACGCCGTCAGACCCGCGCACGGCCGGCCGCGACTGTAGGCACACGCAGGCGGGCCGCCACGCGACGGCGTCACGGCGCGTCCGCCTCGGAGACGCCTATCCTCGGCCGATGGAGCGGAGCCGTCAAACAGCAGCCGGTCAAACAACTGGTGACCTAAGCCATCTAACGCGATGCCAGTAAAATGGCCGGTTACGTGGGCCCCTCGAATGTGGCGCCACCTCGGCACCAACTCAGCCACCACAGTGTCGCCTCGGCACCAACCCAGCCATCACAATGTCGCCTCGGCACCAACCCAGCCACTAACCTGTCGCCTCGGCACCAATCCAGCCATCACAATTTTGCCTCGGCGCCAATCCAGCCACCACAATATCACCCCGGCACCAACCCAGCCACTACAATGTCGCTTCGGCACCAACCCAGCGACCACAATGTCGCCTCGGCACCAACCCAGCCATCATAATGCGGCAGTGTGATGCTGCCCCCACAAGCCGTCAGCGCCGCCTGCGGTGCATACGGACGCATCGCATACCGTCAACCCAAACTCAGTACCACTAACGACCACCCCACCCGACACGGGCACCGGCGTCAGCCCGGCCCGCCGGCCTCGCCACCCACCGTCCGTCTCCTTGGCGTCGGCCAGCTGGGGAGGCGGCGGCGGCGGCGCCGGTCGCAGCGCCTCACCGCCGGCCTCCGCCGCCGACTGGTGTCGGTGCGCGCGCCGCGGCTCGCGGCCCAGGGAGTTGCGGCGCGCCATCGACGCCAGCAGGCCACAGGAGCGGTCCGAGCTGCTGGCGTCCGTCTGTCGGCGACAGGCGCAGCTGAGCACGGCTGCACGGCGCGCTCCGCAGCACACCACTTACACATGGTACACTCGGGCGCCGATCGGCGGCTTTACGACACACTCGACTGCTGGGGCTACATGGTGTCGCCTGCCGTATCCTGGCAGGAACGGCGAGCGCCGTGGGTCATCGAAATATCCACCTCTGATTTCCCAGACGTATAGCCACACTACCAATAGCCTAAAAATGTAGGCGTTGCTGGGTTGCCTGCGTGGGTGCATGGGTAAGGCGGCGAGCAATGCTTGGTATGTTTCCACGTTACAGTAGCACGTGAGCAGTCCGGAAGTGACAAAGGGAACCACCGACTCGAGACCTGCACCGTAATAATCCACAGCTTAGGGCACAGACGCGTCACAGCCTAATGTGCCATGACTGGTGCCATTTTGACGGCAGAGGCCCAAACAGGAGATGCACAAACTTTCGACGTAATTTACGTTTCCTCAAACCACGGTTTAATTCAATAGATGGTCATAACGAATGTACACAGGAGGTTTACTTTCTGAACAAAAGACCACCCCGATCAGCCCATCCCGGAGCTGGATTCGATGGTCCAGGCCAAAGTCACTGTCCTTTGCAGCCATGATAAACGGCAGTTTGCCACCGCTCTCCTCATAATAATTTTGGCGCTTAGCAATTGAACATCTAAGCCCATTTAGTGTCGGCATCGTTCACGTCGATTGCCACTAGGTGGCGGTGGTACATTTAGCCGGGAGACGCCCCGAACCAACCCTCGCAGCCAGCGCCCACAGTCACGACTAACACATGCGAACGTGGCAACAAGTACACCGCCCGCCAGCAGCCGTCTTCCTGCAGAGATACAGGGCGCAAGAGACAGAACATCACCCCTGTCCAGAGACGAAATTCTCCGGACCAGTTCGCTTGGCAGGCGACGACGGCCCATGCACGCATGTCTGTTCAAACACACTCTTGGACCACCTTCAAGATGAGTGGCCACTCGAGCGCACATTCGGTGTATCAGACGACATATCACACCTCATCACGGAATGCAAAGGCAACTTGAATGTAGGTCTGATTACGGAATGCAATGAAACTTTACAACGGCAGCTGTTCCGTCCAGCACCAGGAGTGGCGCAGGGGCATCATAGGCGTATCGCCTCCTTTTTACTCCCTTTCTCTCCCCTCTCTAACCACCTGATGACGGCGAACATCAGAACATCGTACCTCCAATCACTCTTCTTCTGATTATTAACTCATCCACCAGCATACAAGTCTTCAACAACGAACAGGTTAACACTTTTAGGGCTAAATGTCATCTATTTACTCGCGCAACTTTTCTGAAAGCGAACACCAGGTACGGTCCAGGGACATCAACGCCACAGCGAGCGGGGCAAAGCCCAGGCTAGATCAATCTGCCCACCTTGCTGGAGTTCTGGTCAAAGTCAATGACGCCGAAGTCGTCGAAGCTGCCGCTAGCCTTGCCGTTGAGCAGGTCCTCGAACACGCGGTTGGTGATTTCGTCGAGGCTGGGGAAGGGCCGGCGCGGCTCGGCCGGCTCCCCGCCGCCCTCCTCGCGCCATCGCACCACCAGGTGGCGGCTGTCGAGCCGCGTCACCGGCAGCTTCAGCTCCACTGGCGCGCCGCCGCCCGACTGTGGCAGCACGAGACACACCCAATGAGGCGCCGACACCACCGACACAGCGCACCCGGCGCCCACCACAGCACACCTCTTAACTGTGGCAGCACGCGACACGCTCACTGAGACGCCGACACAGCCCACCCGGCGCCCACCACAGCACACCTCTCGACTGTGGCAGCACGCGACACGCCCACTGAGGCGCCGACATTACCGACACAGCGCACCCGGCGCCCACCACAGCACACCTCTCGACTGTGGCAGCACGAGACACGCCCACTGAGGCGCCGACATTACCGACACAGCGCACCCGGCGCCCACCACAGCACACCTCTCGACTGTAGCAGCACGAGACACGCCCACTGAGGCGCCGACATTACCGACACAGCGCACCCGGCGCCCACCACAGCACACCTCTCGACTGTGGCAGCACGAGATACGCCCACTGAGGCGCCGACATTACCGACACAGCGCACCCGGCGCCCACCACAGCACACCTCTCGACTGTGACAGCAGGAGATACGCCCACTGAGGCGCCGACACAGCGCACCCGGCGCCCTCTACACCACACCTCTCGACTGTGACAGCACGAGACGCGCCCACTGAGGCGCCGACACAGCGCGCCCGGCGCCCGCCACAGCACATCTCTCGACTGTGACAGCACGAGACACGCCCCTATGACTACCACAGCCCACCAGGCGCGCGGCCGTTTGATAGTCCGACGACGAGACCAAGAATCACATACCCCTGGGAGGAGTTTGTGAGCTTGCCTTCCGACAACGAAGCGAAGGCGTGCGCACACGAGTCCCAACATGCGTTAATCCATTACACAACTAACTGGTGGCATTACCTAAATCCAGTCGACGGCATGAGTCGCGAACATCGAATTCGGCGCATCGTGTGCGAAGACTCAAGAGCGCAGTAATTTGCAATACCCCCAATTTCTCCCAGCGGTTACCAGACGCCGGAAATTGCGAAACGTCTTGCGCTTGAGAAAGCCAAGCACAGACCTCCCAAGCGCAATCCACCGAATCCTTAAGGCCGACAAGAACACTGCATCACAATCTGACAGTGCGTGACACCGATTGGCGCAAATACGACAAACGTACGAAAGACACAGAAGTATGTTGGATAACATCTAAGCGTAACTAATCATATTTAGTAAGAACATCGCACGCTATCGAGTCCTCGCCATGTTGAAGACGACAGCGGGCGCAGACCTGGCCGCAGGTCTCCGCCTCGAGCAGCGTCGCTCACCTCGAACACGTGCACGGCCTCCAGTTTGAAGCCGTACTTGCTGAGGATGGGCTTGAGCACCTCGCACGCCTGCCGGTTGGGCTTGGCCTTGACGCCGATCGTCTTGTGGTTGGGCAGGTCGACACGGAACAGCACGCGCTGCTCCATGCGGATCTCCTTGCAGCCGAGCCGGCGCGAGTCGATCGACTGGTCGAGCGGCTGCCGGCGGCGGCGGCGGCCGGTCAGCACTGGCGCCGCCGCCATCACCCTCCCCTCCGCGCTGACTTATCGAGTGTTGGCTCTGATGACTCTCCGTTCGGACACGGACACGGAACACGGAACAAGGAACTTCGGAAGGTTCGGACACGGAACAACGCACAGGAACTTCAGGTCGGTGATTGATGACAGGTAGGCCATTCGCACTACGTTATAGCCGACATAAGGTGAAGCATTTCAGGGGTGGAAATCAATACCATGGCGCAAGGTATGGCTTCCGCGCGACGTGATATGCCTGTTGTGTCATTTAGGCTTGGTTTGGAGGTCGTATCCAAACCAGAGGTGGGTCATGTCCTACGACGGTGTGGAATAGGCCGCGTAAACAGTGCAACAAGCTAAAACAAAATGAGGACGCAATCTTACCTGATGATGTCCACGTTTGTCAATAACAATTTACATATCCCGCAATGCAGCACAAATTCTAATTTGGCCATTTGGGAAAAACACCTCCGCGCCTGACGGCAGCCCGTGCATCACGTGACGCCACCACCTCCAGCTGTGACCAGCCGAAGCGGCGGCCGGCCGGTCCGCCGGTCCGCCGGCCGGTCCGGCAGCGCTCCTCGGGCGCCACCCCGACTCACCCTGTCGCTGTTGCCCAGGTACACGTCCCACGAGTTGTAGGGCAGCGCGCGCCGGTCCACCAAGCGCTGCAGCATGACGCGCACGGACACGTCCGGCTCGGCCTGCACCACGGCCGAGCTGGCGTCCGGCAGCCGCACACGACACAGCAGGCACTCCACGTCGGCGGCCGGTACGGCGGCGACCGGCACCGGCGGCGCCGCCGCGCCCTCGCCAGACGTCAGCGACTACGGACCGGACGGTGACGTCACCACACGGAAGCGCGGCACGCTGGCGACGGGGTCGGGGGGTCGCGGGGCGGACCCAAGCACTCACAGGACGGGAGAGCTGAACACGGGCGACGAGAGACGGACGACAGTGACCACAGCGACAGGGGGGGGGGGGGGGGGGGCCGCAGCGGCAGCCACCGACGGACAAAACACAGCAGCAGCGAGCGCCAACGGCTGGTGCCATACACATCCGTCGACCCTCGGCAGCCGAGTAGCATGCGACCTGTCAGGGCTCGGCACGCGGACAGAGCTGAACGAGGCGTGAGCGGCGGGCGTGAGCGGAGGCGTGAGCGGACGGCGTGCGCGGACGGCGTGAGAACTGAGGGCGTGACGGCTGAGGACGTGAGCGGACGGCGCCAGTGCCCACCTGTCGGCTGCCGGCGCTGCGCTGTATGGCAGCCAGGTCGGCCGAGGCCAGCGAGCTGCGGCTGCCCGAGAGGTCGCTGCGCACCGAGCTGGTCTCCTCGCGCTCGCGCTGCCGCTTCTTGCGCTTGTAGTCGGCCTCACCGCGGTCCTTGGACTTGGAGCGGTCCTTGCGGTGCCAGGGCAGCAGCGAGCGCCGCCGCCGCTCGGCCGCCTCCGGCTTGCCGCCCTTGCCGGCCACCTTCTGTGGCGACACGGGCGCGCCGCGTCACACGACTGGCAGCGCGCCTCGCTCGAGCCTGGCTCCGGTCAACGCTTTCATCCCCCCTCCCCCTCCCCATCCCAGCGAAAATCGGCGTGAGAAATTTAGAAACAAAATGACCTGAGCTGTTGACTGCGTCGCCAAACCCTGATAGCAACAACGGCAATAAAGCGCGCCCTGCGCGGCTGGCCTACAGCGCTACTGGTGTAAGGAGATGGGCGGGACCAGCCTAGGCGCGGTACAGAGAACGGCATGGCGGCCATGCGCCCGTGGACGGAACGCATCTACGAGCGTTCCTACGAGCAGTGCCGATCTTGGTGGCCTCGTTCTGTTGGTTCACGCTACGTGCACCTGCACTTAGAACACCTTGAGCTACTGATGCCACCTGGCTTGTAAAACATGTGTGACGGAGAGGGAGGGTGCTGTTGTGCGACACCCCTCAATGCCGTCCAGTGACCTCTCAGTGCCACTGCGCCCATGCACGCGCGGCTCTGTTCCACCGCTTGGAGGTAGCTTCAATAAGCACTGCACGCGCCGGCGAGACTCTCATCACATGCATGAAAACGCTTCCAGCATTACGCAAGCGGAATCGCGCGCCACGGGTCTCCGTACGGTGTCGACCACCGCACGTGCACGGATGGGAAGGGGGTGGGGACAGCCATGCGCCGGGCCTCTCAGCGGACGAACCTTGTCCTCCGGCTGGGTGCGCAGGTCCGGGTCGAGCTCGTCGCCGCCCAGGTACGGCAGCTTCTGGCCGTCCCGCTCCCGCGCCAGGCAGCCCACGTACATGCTCGACTTGAGGAAGCGCGGGAAACAGTCGTACTTCATCAAGCTGAAGATCTGATGCTGCGCCTGTCCGGGAGTGAGTGCGCCAGTCACAGACGGCTCGGACTGAGCCACAGCTGACGGGCCGGGGAGCGCCGGCGCGGCGGCAACACTGACAACCCGGGCTGAGTGCGTGCTGCCGCGCTTGCCCGCGCTGGTCCGACGGCCACGCACAGGATCGAGGGAGAGATGAATTGTTTCACTGCACAACGATGTACCCAGTCTGAGAGCAGCACGCAGCCAACCAGCCGCCTCCCCGCCTCGCAGTGAGCGGAACTGAACAGATAGCCGACCGCTCTGGCCCTCCAGACGCAACCAGCCACAAGCATGGCGGCTCCATCATGGCTCAGGCCCGAAAGGGGCACAGATACTCTCTTCTGAAGGCAGAACACCCCGTTTTATCCGCACTACAGACTGCGCTCCGAGACCGCCTCCCTTTTATGTTCGTGGAGAAGCCTACATACCCTCAGAGGGGGCCACCTTGTGCCCCACCACGCACACATCACCTACACTCATTCCCCTACCACGAACAGTACTGTGTCCCCAGGAAGCCACACACACCCCGCCATCACAAGAGACGGCCGCTGGACCGGCCGGTCCGTGCGCCGCACCTTATCGAAGAGGGTGGCGGCCGCCTGGTCCAGGCCGTCCTGCGCCGCCTGCTGCGCCTGGCTGTCCACGTTGACGGGCTCGGGCGCGCCCAAGCACAGATGGCGGCCGTACACCTGCAGCGCCACCTGACGGCGCGCCTCGCCATCCGGCAGCTGCTTGTACCGCTCGCACGCCACCCAGAAGTAGATGTTCTCGTGGCTGAACTGGCTCTTGAGAAACTCCTGCCGCACGGAGGAGGAGGGGGAGGGGAGGCGGTGAGCGGCACGGAGGGGCGCGCGTCCACGTGACCGAGTGAAGACCGGCCTCGCCCGTCAGCTCTCAGCCGCTCTCGCAGGGCACGGCACAAACGAAAACGGGTCAAACACGCCGGCCAAACACTGTGGCACAACAATCAGTACATGTGCAAATGAGTTGAACCGGAACGTCCGCACCGACAACATGGCCCAACATCGACGACGAAGCACTAGCGACCAAGTGCCTGGCTGGTGACGTGGTGTCCGAGCGCGGAGCAGTGAGTGGGACGGGCCACCGCCGGTCGGCGCCGCCTACGTACGGCGAACGTGTGCAGTCCGGCCTGGTCAGCGAGCAGCTGCTCGAAGGAGAGCGCCCAGGAGGCGGCGCGGCCGCCCTCGTCAGCCGCCGCCCGCTCCGCCTGTTCGCTGCCGGCGCCGGCCGCCTGGCAGGCACGCTCGGACGACTCCAGGCTCTCGTCGTACCCCTGCAGGTCAGGCCGGGTCAGGTCAAAGCATTACCGACTACCTCAGGGCGTCACTGATCACCAGCAAAAGATCACCTCGTGCACCTCCACGCCATCCTATCTGCGCGAGCGCCACAGTATATCGGCGCAGATCACCCCAACATAACACAGCAGCTTCCGTGGCCGCGGCCTTCGAGGTCTGACCCCTGGCAGATGACAGCGAAGCTCAGAATAATCTCGGCGGCAAGCCTCACAACAGCCAGAACCATTTCAAGCAACACGCAATTCCAACCTCTTCCATTCAGCATCGTTCACATAAAAAGGGAACGTACCGGTCCGAGACGCGGTCTGGCTGGGTCAAGGAGCAGCTGTCTACCCATTACAAGCTGTAGATCATCCAAGACATGCAAGGGCGCTGCGATTTTTGACATGGCGCGGGTCACAAGACGACATGCTGTCATAAACACAGTCGAAGAAACCCGCGCCACTGCGTGTTTACCGAGGCTGTCATGTTACAGCATGGCGAGACTGTAGCGGCAACATCATGTGTATCTGATTACCCTACGGCCTCTCAGCAACGACAGAGCGGCCGCCGCTATCGCACCGCCCCAAACAGGCCAACCTGCAGTCCTCGCAGTCCCACTGTGACCCATCGGCTTGCAATATTGACCCAAATACAAGTGCATAGGGGGGGGGGGGGGGGAGACTGCTGCTGAGCGTGGGTGCGGACGGCCACCGAAGCAAGCGGGTATCAACGATGAGATGTTTAATGTACTTACGTTGTGGGAAGTTGGTGTGGCAACTGCCACATCTACCATACCGGTTTATGCATTCGTGGCCATGGCCCCACCTTGGATGGGCTCCTGCTCACTTTGTCATCCGTGTTATATCCAAGCCTATCCTAGTGTGCCTACCACCTCTGTTGATCGGTACGTGAACAAAGACGCATTCCATCAAAGCGTTAGCTCGCATCAAAGCCCCATACTGTCGATGTAATTCAAACGCTACACGCGCTGACACTTGCGACGGATAAACGCCCAGAGGGACGGTTAATGGCCTTTGGCCTTCGATAAGGCCGTCGGCTGCCTCCCCCTCCCCCCCCCCCCCCCCCCCCCCCCCCCCCCCACCCCACCCTGTTACGCCGAGTCACTTGTTTGAGGGGCCCAAAGCAAGCACAGTGAACCAACCAGAGTGCAGATTTAAGTACATGTTCAAACCCCGGAGCTAACAGTCAATGTGGAGGGACCCATCACCGGACGACAAAGCCGATCCGGTTATCGCCTGCGACGTTTGACGAGGCCCTCACTCAGTCAAAACACGCACCGACGACCAACGCCGGCAGCATATGCAAGAGGCGCATACATGCGGAACGGCGCTCTACCCAGCCCTCCCGCGCGCCGGCAAAAACCTGTTATGCATACCCGGTCCATTTCCGCCCCACGTCTGGCCCAGCTCCGGGCCGTGCCCTCTCCCCTTCGGTCACGAGCTCCAGCCAGCGTTGCTATCCCAGCGGCGGCCAGCTGTCGACCAGCTGGTGCCGGCGGCCGGAAGCCCGGCCCGACAGCGGGAGCCGGCCACCACACACGCCGTTATCGGCCCGGACCGAGCGGACACACTTCCAGGAGCGCCGCTGCGCCGCCCGTCTCTCCAGCTGGCCAGCCCCACATGCTCTGGCCGTTCGCGCAGCGGACGCTGGCCAGCCCCACATGCTCTGGCCCTTCGCGCAGTGGACGCTGCTCAGTCCCGGCCGCAGACGTCACGGCCGCGGCGCCCTCCTCGTCGGGATGGCAGCACGTGGGCGCCGTTCACATGTATCTTCGCAAAACTCGGGGCTCGCCCAGCTTCCGGCTGCAGAGTTCGCAGGTCGCTATTGCATCCGAATACAACTTCAGCATGTGGTTGAATGCAATATATTTTTAAGCTCAATTCATCGCCTATTGTAGATGACCAAATCGACCAGGAAGTCATACACCGGTCTGAAAGCAATGTTTGAAAATGCAATCAAACGCTACATACGAACCATGCTTCGAGGCAATCTTCTTCTCGAACCCCTTTCCACATCGCGTCAACATTGGCAGTAGGCGGCCGACCGGGGACAGCCCTGTCTTGCTCCATCCCCGAGCAGACGCCCCCCACACGGCTCTGTCGGTCCCCTGCGAGCGGACGCCGCCCACACGGCTCTGTCGGTCTCCCGCGAGCGGACGCCGCCCATTCGACTCTGGCAGGTCCCACCGAGCGGATGCCGCCCACTCGGTTCTGGCGGGTCCCACCGAGCGGATGCCGCCCACACGGCTCTGTCGGTCCCACCGAGCGGATGCCACCCACTAGCCTCTGGCGGGCTTCATCGAGCGTCAGCCGGCGGTCTGGTTCCAGCCCTTCCAGCTGCACCCCTGAGCGGGCGCCGCCCACTAGGCTCTGTCGGTTCCCACCAAGCGGACGCCGCCCACTAGGCTCTGTCGGTCCTCACCAAGCGGACGCCGCCCACTAAGCTCTGTCGGTCCCCACCGAGCGTCGGCCGGCGGCTCCGTCCGCCTCCGTCCGCACCCCGACCTCGCCCGGCTCCGCGCCCCGGCCGCCCACGAGAAACCCGAGAAGCGACCGACCTCGCTCGATATGGACTGGTGGGATCCCGTCCACTGTTAGCGCGGCGATCCCATATCAAAAACAGGCACGGGCTCCTTCTCCCAGCCTACGAGCATCTCACTTGTACCGAGCTCGGGCCACTTCTAAAAGAACCGATATACAAAAGCGCGGTCAATACCAAATATCCTATCGTGGACCGGGTTTGCGTCAGATCAGATCAGTTTTGCATCAGCCGCTTGCGTCACGTCGGTTCCATTTAGCAGCACTGCGCGACCGTTACGGGGCGGTGCTGCTGGTACGAGCTGCCCCGATCTGTGAAGGCGTGCCCCTGCCCAGCGGCGGACAAAAATGGAAATGTCACAGGGGCTTGCGACGGGCCGCGCCCACGTCACGTGACGCGGCATTTCTGCGACAAACGCTGCACGGCTTAACGCGGTCGGGTGTGATCATGCAGATAAGTCGTCGTGCAGTGTCGTACCACCCCTCCCCTCCCAACTTCCAAAAGTGCCCGTGAGCTATGCTGGGCTAAAGGTTAAGGACGTCAATGTCATAAGATGAATTAACAGGTGGCTGGTCGACTTTTTGGTTTACCCGGCTCTTCCGTCAGCGCTCGACGAATATGTGCAATCACGTCCACATAAGTCTAGCCACAACTATCTTTATCTTGATCTTGCGCGTATCTCGCGGACTGCAGAGTGTCTGAGATGTCGATAAATACCAACTGGAAATAAAAATCCGATTCAAGGCCATATTGCACGTGGTGAGATTTGTAGAAAGCGACCGGCATGCGAGGCCGACGTGGTCTGCTGCTGCACAGGGCAGACTTCCGCTCGCCGCGGAGAGCCGGAGCGGCGGTGTGGTGACCCGCAGCCGGCCACCGCCGCGCCGCCGTCCAGCCCGCCCGTCGCCTCACCGTGCCCAGCAGCGGCCCGCCGCCAGCCTCGGCGTCCGGTGGCGCCGCAGCGCCCCTGGCGGCCGGCGACGGAGACAGCGCGCGTCGGTTGAGCCGCCGACGGAACGACTGGCCCTTGTTCCAGCGCGGCTTCGGCTCCGGCTCCAGCTCCGCCTGGTGACAGGGACGGCGCGTTAGACGAACCCCGTACATCCTGCCCCATCTCGCACGTGTCAGTCACGCGGCCTCCTGACTCTTACAACGTGCCAGCCGCCCCCGTCATAAGCAGGCAGCGCGGGCCCAGGCTGTCGGCGACGGCACTGTGTAGCCATGCATATTAGTCATCGGTTTCATCCAGACTTCTGGATTTCAAGTCTGCTCCTTGGTTTTATCTAGACCGCCGGATTTCGATCATGCTAGCTGATTTCATCTACACTTCCAGATGCCAGTTCCTCTTCTGTGAAACACAGACTTGGGGCAGTAGACAAAGGACGAATGGCTCAGAGATAGTTGTCAACAAACATAATTTGGGCCGAGGCTCTCTGTGAAACCAGCGGTACGGGATTTCATTCCTCACGGCGCTGGCCTTCCTGCCAGGGTCCGATGCAGGCGATGTCATATACCCTCAGCAGCTGAGTACGTTGTAAAGCCCCAATGACGGCGCGGGGCCCTTCGCTTGCGCACTTTCATCACAGGTAAAATATGGCTACGTCATTCATCTTTTACGGGACAGCTTCGGCGCTGCATAATAACTACCGCTTGCCTGAGATAACAGAGCAAGCAAGGGCAAAGATACAGTGCTCTTCTGTAATTAAGGAGATACGAAATACCGACCGGCAATAATGCAACGGGTCCTGATATATGGCCCGTTGCTATGCCCTCGCAGACGTGCGAGTGAAGAGCATTCAGCCTGACACAGGTACAATATGCGAGACATCATGCCCTAATTAAGACGGTGAGTGCGGCCATGGTCCTGACTTACACACCAGTGAGAGTGCGTCTTCGGGCTTTGACTATGACATGGACACACATTGCTCCACTATTATCCACCATTGTCATGGAGGTCTCCGGTGCGCTGCAGAAGGCGACAGAAGCACACCCGGGCGCCGCCGGTTTGCGCCTGCAAGGCCGGGCGGGCGTGTCCTCGTTGGCATTTTAAACGCCGGTAACGGTCAAGGAATCGCTCACCCGCGACAAGCCGGAGCCGTTACAAATCGCCGTGATAAGCACGAGTGTTTTTCCTCGTAATGCCAGCGCCATCGCGATGTAACGTAGTGTCGCGCCAAATATGGCCCACCGTTCAGTTTTCAAACGCGCCCAAGATGAGTAAGCCTAGCGTTGGCTCACGGCTTGATGACGGCCTGAGCCAAATGCTGGTCCACTGCTGATTGAACACCCGCGGCTTCGATGAGGTAACAGCAAAATCATCTCCGTCTCCACAGTTTTTTTGAGAGGATGCAATGTAAACGACATCGAGTCTCCTGGTGACAAATGGCCTCCCTATTCGAGTTCCTTAAATGACATTCAAATATTCCGTTTAACAGTATGACCCATCCGGTACATATTGCTTGTAACAAGAACGGAAGTTCTCTTTCCAGAAAAGCGAACTGCGATACATGACGTCATCACAGAGCTTCTTGAAAATAGCAACCCATCGCATTACTCAATGATGTCCGGAAGGTCATCAAAAGATAGCACGTATCACGAGTTATCAGCAGATTCGTCACACGTTTAAACCCTACACAGACGCATTCGGTCGCAAACTTGGGAACATGACCAGGAGCATGACCGGCATACATCACACCGCTGCACCGAATCCGCCTCCTAAACTCCAAACTCCCGACAACCACTTGTGCGAGCCGGAGGCGACAATTCCAGAGGCGGAGAAAGTTAGCCACCGGACGTTATCAATAGGCTTCGTCCGGCCCGGCAGACGGCGGGGGAGGGAGTTGGAGGTTACGAACAACAGCCGACGCGGTCACCGAGATGTCCCCCCCCCCCCCCCCCCCCGCTCCTCCATTTGACGGCGCCCTGCAGCGCGGCGCCGCCGCCGCCGTGCCCCCTCACTGGTGAACACCCAGACCCAGCGGGGGACGCGAACACGGGGCGGGATGCAGATGCAAGAGAGGCACCCTTGCAAGCGGCGGCTGGATGATGAGCTGGCAATGGCGTCGCCTGTCCAGCGCCGCCCTCACACCTGCCAGGCCGTGCCAACGCCACCGACCACTGACCGTGGTAGGCACTGAGCCAATGGTGTCCACCAGCCCACACTGGGCTGGTGGGCTGGGCCACTGGGCAACTGCAACTACACCCGTCGCTGCCCGACCCCAGTGGCGTGGAGAGCCCCCCACCGAGAGCATGCTGGGAAGCGCACGGATCGCTCCCACGCACCACGGCCTTCTCACCATCACACACACTCGCGAGTGCACGGCCACTTCTCACGACCACACGGCGCACTCGAACAGGGCCTCGTCACGCGCCGCCGCCGGCACGAGCGCCGAGCCTCGTCACACGGACGAGACGCGCCCACAGCCGAGCCGACAGCTCACTGCCGGCGGCTCGGCTGGCCAGTCGACGCTGCGGCGCGGCGGAACCGGACGTCCGTCCGCCGATCACGCGCAGTGCCGGCTGACGGCGGTGCGTCAGTCGGCTCCGGGGAATACGGTCCCGGCTGGGGTCAGGAGCGGACACAGGACCGGGCTGGGGCACGGCTAACGACAGGGGCGGTGTCACGTCAGACGACAGGGGTGGTGTCACGTCCAACAACACAGGCGGTGTCACGTCCAATGACAGGGGCGCTGACACGTCCAATGACAGGGGCGCTGACACGTCCAACGACGGGGGCGGTGTCACGTCCGACGACACAGGTGGTGTCACGCTCAGCGACAGGGGCGGTGTGCGGTGTGCTGGATCCGTACGTGCCGCGTGTGCCATGTCCGAGCACAGGCCGCGGACGGTGTCATGCCCAGCGCCCGCAGCGGTGGGCGGTGTCGGGTTTCGGCGCAGGGACGGTGTCAGATGCAGACACGGTACCGGAGGTCGGTGTCAAGTCCAAACCCCGCAACGCTGTCACCGTGTCACGCCTGGTCCCGCGTTGGGTGAAACGGTGCGAGGACAACGGATCGGTGAGGCCCCAGATCTCGGACCGGTGGAAGGCGCAGGCGCAAGACCAGTGCCGTATCGAGACGCAAAGCCGGAGGCCCCGTGTCAGGGCCGCGCTTAGGAGCGGCGCAGCGGCGTCACATGCAGCCGGAAGATCGGAGTCCGGCTCGGCCAGAGAGCCCGTCTCCTACGGCCTGTATTGAGTCCAAACAAAGGATCGGTGGACTAGTTCAGATCCAGGCACAGGTTCGGGGGCCGCTACCAGGTCCGATGCAACTGTGTCAGCGACCAATCCAAGAAACCAGCGGTGCTTTCGAACCAGATAAAGACGCACACCATACAAGCGATTCACAGCCGTCACCCGCAGATGAAACAGTCGAGAATACAGGAGTAGGACGGTCGGCGGACCGGCGAGAAAGGAACTAATCGCCTGATGGGTGGTAAAAGCCAGCCACTAAACGCCTGGGGCAGGCCCATCCTCACTTCCAGATCATTAGCATACGAAGTCGTTCAGAATGCACGTGGTCAGTGGAGCGAGACATATCACTTTTCCCTCCGACGAGCACGCTCTCACGGCGATAGGTTTAGACGCGACGGGAAACATTTGAGGGCAGGGTGGAAAGAATGCATCGCTTCCATCTGCTTGGACACCTCGTCCCAATTCGCACAGCTATTCTTCATATCTAACGTCGTGGGAAGACGCCTGGGAAAATTAACACAGATAACCACATGCTTAGTCGCACACGAGCTCCACCAGTCAGCAAGCACACGGGGCACCTAACACACATACCCAGGTCCACACTTGCTCACACAACACACTAACACACGCAACACAATGATTGCGTGAATGAATGTCGAGAAGCGACGCCATGCTTCCCACCTGTAACCCATCCATCCGTCTGGCGCACTTAGCCACATGCAAATTGAAGACCACGGCACTATCAATCAGCGTTGCGATTTATGTGCAAGCTCGGCGCCCCAGGGCCGAGCGGGCCGGCTCGGAGCAGCTCGCGGTTTCACCAGCGCGGCACGGCGCGGCGGAGGGGCGGCTAATGCGGCCCAGCACGGGGCCTTGCGTCAGTCCGTGACAAGCGCGCCGATCGTGTACTCACGCCGAACAGTCTGCTCTCGGCGCTCCGCCGATCATTAACCGCCGGGCGCGGCCGCCGTCGGCCTCGTCCGCGCTAGCTCGTGTCTGCGCTCCCCGGCAGCGCGCGGGCGCGCGGGGCCGCCGCCAGCCGGCCGGCGGCGGCTGGCCCCGGCGCCCTGCAGTGCGGCCGCTGGCGGACGCCGGCGCCGGCGGGATCGCGGCCAGCCGGGCAGATGACGCCGGTGGGCGGCGGCCCGGCTCCGCCGCGCTCGCCGACCACAGACGGCACCGGTACGCCCGACGCCGTCCGTCGGCCGCCACAACAAACAGCCCCGGCGGCGACCGGGACCGGAGTGGCCCATTCACCGGGCCGACCGGGTACCGTGACGACCCATTCACCCACGTCCCGCCGACGACGGGCGCCGCGACGGCCCATTGACCTGGCTGCTGTCGCGCGGCGGCGGAAGCGGTCCATCGCCGCCGATAACGACGTCATGGTGCCTCCGGCTCGGCCGACAGACGGCGGACGCCGTGTGTCGCCGGGTACGGCCCGCCGCTGGCAGCAGGCGGACACGGCATGGAACGGGACGATCCAAAATCGACATGTACGTGACAGAGATGGAAAGCCGGGCAGATGGCAGCGCTTTGTTGCAACGTTTTTCTTTTTTGTCTTTGTTTTGTCTCACGGACACGTGGTGCATGCACATCCACAAAGCGTTGGTATGGCCCAGATCTAGGCGATGACGTGATTTGTAAAGTCGCGGGGATCTGAATCCTGTTGGAGCTGGGCTCACGCTGATGGGTAATCAGCGCATCTGAGTCGGGTGTTTAGGGCGTGAGACGTCGGCGGATCGGTCAGAGGACGCGGCGCGGCCCACCGCTCAGGGGTCATCGGGTCACGAGGCCAGGTGGAGGGAGCGCGGCGCCCCGCACCGCCGCCGCCGCCGCCGCCGGCTGTACGGACCCGGCAGGCCTATCGAGG